AACGCAGGTGGAACAATAGGAACAATGGAAACTGGAGAGTCTGTTCGCAAGCGAGACCGTGGAGGAGATGGGGGTGGTGAGGAGGAACGCAGTCGTCTACGGCCAAGCACAGACAAAGATGAGAGGGGGTTGCATTGGGCAAGATTTCGGACCAAAGGACGTGAGCGTCGGAGAGATTGTGATGTTCTTTGCATTGGAGCTGCAGGACAGGAAGTTGTAGCAGTAAAAACCAAAGTAGGGGGAATTACAGTTAGGGAAACTGCTGTACTGAAAACTGCAGCAGTGGAAACCGCAACAGTAGAAACTGCAGCAGCGGAAACTGGAGCAGTAGAAACTAGAGCAATGGAAACTGCAGCAGTAGACACTACAGCAGTGGAACCCGCAACAGTGGACACTGCAGCGGTGGAAACTACAGCAGTGGAAACCGCAACAGTGGACACTGCAGCAATGGAAACTCCAGGAGTGGAGACTGCAGCAATGGAAACTGCAGGAGTGGAGACTGCAGCAGTGAAAACTGCGGTAGCAGCAGATGAGTAAGCAGGGGCAGGACGAGAGCATCGTGGGGGGGAAGAAGAAATTGGATGATACAAGGACCATCGCATCATGCGTCGGAACCGCTTAGAGAGATGCATCACATGCGTAAGATAGCGACGTTGGCGGGAGCGCATGTAGTAGGTCATACAACAAGGAAGTGTTGTTGCTGCAGTTCAAAAGTCCTGCCAATTGTTACAGATTTGTTCAAATCTGGTCAATTGGCCAGTAAACACACCAACCGGTTGATGGGAAGGGATGTTGGAGGTCGCACTTGGATAACGAATGACAGGGAAGTCCCAAGCAGCCGCTTTATCAAAGACGCTCATGCGAAACGAGCCATCGGAACGGACCTGTAGATGCATACCTAAAAAGGTACAGGAGCCATCCGTAACTGTAGTCTCCTTCCACTCAAGCCCATAGTGCTCTGGTGAAGGAGGTAATTGTCCCCATGAAAGAACATCATCAATGAGGCGATAGGTGAAGGCATATTGTTGAGCAGCTTGAAGATCATGTTGACGGATGTCATCAACAAAGCGTGCTTCATCCCAATACAGCGTCAGATTAGAAATTTATGGACCAGCATTCGTTCCCATTGGAATACCGATAATTTGTTTCCGAAGTGTGCCATCTCTCGTGTATAAAAAAGTGTTTTGTACAACAAAGCAAAGATGTTGGAGAATCTGAGAAACAGAAAGGGTATCCAGGCCCGAATCAGTTGTCCATTGGCCACAACGAGGTCCTCAAATAACCATGTTGAGGACGCAGCGTGAATGCATGCGAGCTTGCCGAAGGGCATAAGCATGAGCTTCATCAACAACTTTTGCCACATTATTCAGAATACGGTCATGAAGAAGGTTGGTGTACATTGTGGTAAAATCAATAGTTCGAGGAGAGAGGCCACGAAGAGACAATGCATTGTTTTTCAGGTCAATCGCCACTTCATCGACACTCTGAACGATCCAGCACCGTCGAACACCAACATGTTGATAGAGCTCAGCTCAGTGTCTTTCTCGCGAAGAGTAGAGATCACTCCTTGCAAAGCGGCGCTGAGATACGATGAAGTAGTCGTCGTGCTAGCCAAGGGTTTGTGAGGAGGCCGTTCATGAATGGTGCGAATTGTTGGACGAGGGCGAGCACGCGGGGGAACAACACTGTTATTTTGTGCTGTGACTCCAAGAATGTTGCGAAGAGATGGAGGAGACTTGTGAGCTTTGAGTACATAGTAAAGGTAAGGTAGGGTATTAGTGTGGGTGCAACCCCAATGGTGATTCCACACTGCATGGTGGTCAAGGACATCAGCAACAGACTCTTGAAGACAGTATAAGTGGGACTGTCCAAATGAGGAGAGAGATGAAACAAATACCAATTCTTGCAGGAAATTGCCAAATTGTGTGATGTTTTGTCCACAGGGACAATGGCAAAGTGTTGTTGAAGATGGTGCAAGGAGGCATGTGTAGAACGTAGTGAACGTGGCTGGCTCACATGATTGGAGAACGGAGATGCATTGGATTGGCAATGCGCAAGGATTGTAGAACGCTAGTTGTTCAACTTCTGAGATACGAGAAAGAAGCAGATCGAGAATGTCCGGCCAACAACCTTTTGTAATTGGCAATGTACTCATCTAGTCCAATTGCCAGTGCCTGGAGCACATCGGCAGTTTCCCCATTCAGCCGATACTTCGAGCCTTCTTAAAAAAGCTTGCGAAGGCTATCATCGGAGATGATATTGTAATCAACAGACACAATATGGTCATCCACAAGATCAGAACAATGTGGAAACGCTCTGCGACATTTGCAATCAGAGGAGTCGGGTAAGGTCATGCCAAGAGTAACACTCAAGGCCACATCAATGAAGTTACAAAATTGGACACGCGTGGGTGGCATCAGTTTGTCACACACACGAACATGTGTGGCTGCTTGAGGATCCGGGTGCAATGCAACTACATCCGACAATTGTAACACATGGCGCAAGTTTGTAGCACGAGCTACCTCATGTGCATGTACGACCTTGATGTGGTCAGTAAATGGGTCACGAGGTTGTGCTGTGTAACGTTGGCCGGTATGCTGCGATTTTCGGATGAGGCATTCGAGTTCTCGAACGTCTGCTGTCTCAAGACTGCTGACTCTGAGTAGCAGAGTCTCAAGTTGACTGGGGCCTCAACATTCACTAGCTCGAGACCCGCGTCGGAAGCAGGGCAGATTTCACAGTCGGACAGCTCTTGACAATCTGACAGCATGAGCCAGCAGGTTGCTGAAGGCTGCGGATCCGTCATGCATCACTGGGAAAGGAACCTTGAGCATAACTATCCATATGTGCCCCAACAAACCCCAGCCAGCATAAGGACAATAGGCCGACCATGTACAGCCTGTGCGACGGAGACCACAGTTCAAAAATGAGTCTGCTTATGCAATCACTACCCACCAAAAGTGCAAGTTGAGAATGGACCTTCTCCTAAAAGCCAGGAAGATTCATTGCCCACGCAACTACTGGCTGTTACGCCTGCTATCTGGTAGAACTGCGAATGAATCTTCCGTTAGAACAAGAAAAGATACAAGCCCGATTCTGATTTTTTTTCCGCTTGTGTTGCTGGCACACCGCACAGTCCTTAATACTTACCTCGACTAATCAACTAACTTACCGCCAAAACTAACACCGCCATCATGCTTGCACTGGCCCGAGAACCCCAATTTACCATCCTTCTTTCGCTCAAATCCGTTTAGGAACGGACGAGCCATGCCTTCTTTCCACTCCTTCGCCTTCCAAGAGTTTCATCCCAAAGCTCAACCACCAGTGGTGTACAATGTGAAGACACATAACCACTATGAGGAGGCCCTAGAACCCCTCAATGAGATTTAGCTCTCATCGACACTCCCACGCAAGCTTAAAAGGCCTTGTGGAAGACCAGAGTAACTCACATAATATTTATATGTGTGGGTGCCGCTGTTAGAATGCTGACCTTTTATGTGTATGTATTTGTTGTGGAACTCATTTGTAACTTTGATGCATGTCTAAGACTTTCAGCGAGAACGACTGAAATGACCTCTCCAACGCCGAGAGGTGGGGTGGTCATGCATTAAATTTGAGGGGCCAGGTGGTCATTTCTTGTTTCTCAAGGGGTAGAGTAATTCCTGGCCTTTCCTCTGCAAGGCCGAGAAGGCACATAACCGCAGATGGTTAAGGTTACTAGGGAAAGAAAAGCAAACCAAAACTCGAAAATACCGCAATTTTTTTTTATAAACAATACGCCCAATCAAAGTGAGAAGCCTCCAGTGGCACATAACCGCAGATGGTTAAGGTTACTAGGGAAAGAAAAGCAAACCAAAACTCGAAAATACCGCAATTTTTTTTTTTAAACAATACGCCCAATCAAAGTGAGAAGCCTCCAGTGGCTAATCACATATGTAGCCCTACCTGTCAATCACTGGTTACACAGGAAAAAAGACCCTAACAGCTCCGATTTATGCCTACCGTCTTCACCCGAATAGAACGCCCGGTCATTATCGCTGCATCTGGACTGGAAAATGCCCCAAATACAGCTATAATTACTTGGCGTTGTATTTGGGTGAAGTAGGTAGTCTACTCAGACCACGAACAAGAAGACATAATCCACCGTCTAATTAGATAAGAAACAACAGAACTATGTGCAAGGGCATCTGATCCATGGGCCACCTCTTTTCTTCTTCGTTCCCGGAACACCCCATTCAACCACTCCTATGGAGTAACATCCATCCTCATTTGACCAAGCCAGACAGATTGTGGTTCGGACTGATTCGTAAAGCCACTTTATGGAAAATCTGGAAGGAGAGATGCAGCAGGACTCTGGACAATACGAAGAATGCACTTGACAAAGTATGGGCTGCTACAAAAATCATGATGGAAGCAGAGGTTCTCTGCAAAAAAAGGATGGAGGGTGGTCAAGGAGACTGTTCAGAGATATCCGGACACAGGGGTCAGACACATCTAACTAAGTTCAGAAGAAGCTGGCTCGCGCAGGACATGGCGGCTGACATTAACGACATGCGACTGGAATTAATGGATTGGCACAGCGCGGAGCTTCCATTGTGGAGACAGGAATCCCCGATGGAAAGGCCTCAAAGTCCACTGACAGCAAGATCGCGACAGCCGGATGGAGGAAAGGAAGCCTTCGTAATGATTCTTAATGTGAAATGTTAGAGCAGGCAGGTCCACAAAGGGCCTGAGAGGAATACATGAGAAGGGCAAGCTGACAGTCAATCCTCCAATGCTGGGAAGGGATCCTTCGACCAAACGGAAGGATGCGTGAGTGTGTGTATATGATGTATCTTATTCTATCGACTTGCTGGGGGAATAGGAACTGGACTGACGCTCCCCAGAATGGACATGGAGCCAGGACCATAAGGCCCTGTTTTTTTTTTTTTTTTTTTTTTTTTTTTTTTTTAAAGAAGTAATAATTCCTGGCTTTTGCGCTCTGTTCATGGATTGCTCACCTCTGAAGAACAGCTGTGCTGGCAAGAGTGCTTCCCGCAATCGAGGAAGATATCCTGTTGTTGTCACCACCAGATAACCCTGCCAACGAAGCATTGGCTGATGCATCAGCCATCCTCGCCATACCACCCGCTCTCTGTGTTGCACTTTCTGCCAGTCTGTACAATGCATCGCGTATGACATTGCATGTGCCAATATCCAACTGCACAGCATACACCAAAATGATACAAATTCAATCACAATAGATGAGACGTAAGAACCGGACCAGATGCAGACATACATTGTTATGAACTGTATTATCAAGGCTATTCGTTCACATCATTTGCAGTTGAAAATTGAAATCCTTCTTTACAATTTTCAGTAGCAGTGTCAAACTTGAAAGCTGATGTTAGCAGAGTGAGGAGGGAAGGGCAATACATAATGTGCTGTAATCTCTTTCACTGAGTATGTTCGCTTGGTGTTATGTAGGTCACCTGCTGCCGCTCGTTGAAGGGAATGCTTCTATAGTAGAACCTATACTGTTTGCTCCGCTCCTTGTCCTTCTGTCAGTTCCATAATCTCTTGTGGTGCAGTCTCTGATGTAGATTGTTGTACTGGTAACTGTCGCTCGTTGAGGTAGACTATGTAGTCTTTGAAAACGATTCTATCCCTCTCTCACTCAGTATCCTATCGTAGTTTTTCCTAATCTCTCTTATGAAGGTTCTGATTATATGTTCTTTATCTGGGAAGTGCTCGATTTTGGTCCTGGTTTTGCCACTGCTGCCACGATAATTTCTGTTTCAATAATCTATTGCCTTTTAAAACACTTCCATTGTTAAGCTTTCCGGTTGTGTTTTGTGCTTTTGAAGTTGGCCAAAACATCTCCGTCTCCATGAGGCCCAGAGCCCTTCTTTCTGAACATCTTGAAGAGTTCTTCTTCAAATTTTGGGAGATCACTTGTCCGCTAGTTTGTTCCATGTTAATTCTAGCAGCTGACATAGAGCCTGGGCTTCTTTTCAGTACAGGACGCAGTGAAAGAGGCTTTCTCTTTCTTGTTGATTGTATACCCTGCCTTGCCACCTCTTCTGTTCTATCCCTCATTTCTTCTCCTCTGGTCTAACCACTCCTCTACCAGTACACTGCTTGGTACCAAGGTGCCAAATTCATTCGGGCTGCAGGGACTTTTGCCATTATTAACCAGAGAAGGCTACTTTGTTTAACGAGTCTCGTCTCTATAATCTGTTTCCAAGGTGGCTCATGATTGAGCGTTACTTTATCCGGTCCCTCTTCTCCCATCTTTCTTTAATATCTCTGTTGTTGCTTGTGGTTTCCTCAAGAGGGCAGGACCTACATGGGAGGTATAATCTATCAGCCTGTGTTGTCTTCATATTTTTGAATTCTGCGATTGAGTTCTCCATGTCCATTCCATGGGATCCACTTCCCATTGATGAATCACTCAGGTGGGTCGGAACATGTATTTTTGTTTCCTTGTCGATTACCTTTACTCTGCTTAAGTTATTGATCCTCTGTGTATTGGCTAGCTTTGTACTAGTTTGTACTAACTTTGTAGTGCATTTCCTTTCTTCCTGCCAGGGGGATATGAAGCACATAATCCAGTTCTTATGGTCGTGGAAAAGGCTTCTGATGTTTTGTACCCATCCATATTGGTTGCCCATCACTGTGAATCCCCCCATTTCCAAGACTCGGGTACTCTTACCATTTTTCCTCCACTCAACGGGTATTAAAGCTTTAAGCCTTTAACATGATTTGAATTGATTTCATTGATTTCTTACGTGTCTAGTAGCCTGCACAAAGACAAAATGCCTTTCATCACCCACTAACCAATGTGGGAATGAGTCCGAATGACACAAATAACATGCACTTCAGAAAAGGACAGAAAGAAAAGAAGGGCGTCATCAGTAAGCTCCAACAGGATATCTTCTTCTTCTATCTCCCAATTCAGGGCCTGATGGTCCTGGCTCTTTCTTAGTCTGAGAAGCGGCAGTTCAGTTCCTTCTCCACCGCCAAGTCACATGTAATACAGTCAATGAACTCTGATGTTTCCTCCTGTTAAGGGCGGAGGAACCCCTGACGAACACTGATACATGTTTATCCAGAGATAGGTAATGCGCAGAACAAGAGATCACCACATGAAGAAAGAACTCACAAAATAGCAATGAGAACAGGAATGAAACAGTGTAGATCAACATAAATCAATATGAAGCAATGCGAAGTGCAAGGATTCACGCGGCAGACACCCAGTCCCGGTCTAAGGGTCCCGATAAGCCCAGTCCGGTAGGCTAGGTCATAGGGTCTAGGGGGTCCAAAACGTCATAGGTAGGTAGGAGTCCGGTACCAACAAGAAAAGTCCAGAAGTGTCCTGTCCGGTACCCGACAGGAAAAGTCCGGAAGCGTCCAGTCCAGTCCGACAGTCCCAAGTCCAGTTTTGCAGCAATGTCTAGATTTTGAGGATACTCAGTAATGAGTGACAATGATAGCTTGTTGTCTTAATTAGCGTCTTACCTCAAAGTAGAACGATCGAGGGGAAACGAAACATGACGCTTTTAACTTTGTTAAAAAAAAACACCTTTTTCAGACAAGGAAATTAGTATGGTTTTTGACACGGTGCATTCTAATTTAATTCGATTAATATCGGACCTACAAAAATGTTTGCAACAGACAGGCCACGGCTGACCGATACCGGTCCAAAGCAGGCCGAGGCCAGCCAAGCCAAGTCCTATATATAGCTGTTACAGTGCAGTGTTTCATCACTTGTTCAGTTGCGAGATGTGGAAGCGCTGCTGCTGCTTGTGCGTTACGGCAACTTGGGCACTGTGCGCCTGAAGGAGAAGAGGGCGCTTGAGTGACATTCCATAGCTAGGTTAGGCGTAGAGCAGGAGGACGGCGGCCATAGCCGCCAATGTGTAAGATACCTGAGTCGGTGTATCCAGGGTAACAATCCAGGGTAGAGAAGGGAGAGAGAGACAAGAGAGAGAGAGAGAGTGAGGTAGAGCAAGTCAAGTCAGAAAGAGAGAGAAGGGGGGGAAGCCATAACCACTATCTGGTTGAGACCAGTTGGTTGTGTGTGTGTGCGGCAGGGCTGCTGGGGACAAACATTCTTGTATATGGATGATAATATTGGTGACAACATCTTCAAGTGTGGATTGTATCTCAATTTGGCTTCTAACGTGTGTCTCATGTGGATGTTCGTTGATGTATGCAAGTTGATGAGTACTTGAATCATTTCAGAAGCAGCAGAAGTCTCAAAATGAATATCTGATTCAATCAAACTCACGACTCTGCACAGTGCACACACATACATCATCACACATATAGGGGGTGGAAGGAGGCATAGACAAAAGATCCCTCCTGGCCGGCATGCACATGGGGTGGAAGGATCCAGATGATGGAGGTGGGGAAGAGACGAGAGTGGAGGAAGAAGAAAAGGGAGAAGACAGAAAGAAACAGCTTGAAGTAGCTGCTGGTAGCCTCTCCTCAACGTCCGCAACAATCGTCTCAACTGAAATGTCAAGTCTGAGTCCTGGGCGTCATACTCCCCCAAATAGTCACTCTCTGATCTCTCTCCTCCCCTCTCTCTCTCTAGAACAGGAGAAGGGAGGTAGTGGCTATGGAGGGTCAGAGGAAGAATCAGGAAGAAGACGAAGCAGAAGAAGAAGAAGCTCTCCTCTCTCTCTCAAGAAGAAGAAGAAGAAGAAGAAGAAGACGAAGAAGAAGAAGAAAAAGAAGAAGACGACAACGACAACGACGACGAAGAAAAAGAAACTCTTCTCTCTCTCTCTCTCTCTCTCTCTCTCTCTCTCTCTCTCTCCTGATGATGATGATGTCCACGAATGACTATCAGTGAAAGGTGATTGCCATGAACCAGACTCGATTTCAACACCCAATAGCCACTTGCAACACACGAAACCTCACCACACATTCACCCAAGCACCAACGTCGCAAATTAGCCCACACAAAGATGACAGCACCTCAAAACACTTGGTATTATACAAGAATTGAGTTCCAAATACAAGCTGGTAATGCTGTCACCAGCAACATCATGCAGGTAACCCTCTCTCTCTCCCTCTCGCTATGCTCTCCCTCTGCCTCTCTCTCTCTCTCTCTCTCTCTCTCTCTCTCTCTCTCTCTCTCTCTCTCTCTCTCTCTCTCTCTCTCTCTCTCTCAATCCCAATCCTTGGATGCTCACACTGACTCTCTGAATGCACTTGCCTCTCCATCTCTTCTATCTTTACCATAATGGCTATGGTGGTCTTCTTCCTGCTCAACCCTATCTATGGCACCCGATCACCCTTCTCCTTCCTCACTCTCCAACTGTGCCCAATTCACTGGATTGCACAAGTGCTACAGCAGACCTTCCACATCATACGAATTGACAAGTGATGCCAATCGGCACTGTGGCATCTATAAATAGAAGTTGTAGTGAGATCTTGGACAGCTTCGGATCGGCACTGGTAGCTGTGGCCTGTTGGATGCACTTTGCCAGTTCCGGAACCTACCGGACTTTCCCCGGATGCTGCTGGAAAGGACGTTTTCTGTCGGGTATCGGGCCAGACTCCTAATGACCTACGAGGGTTCATATACTGCACCCTACTTGACCTAGGGACTCCAAAATGACATTTTGGCCACTGGGTCGGCCGAATTATGGGGGAGCAGGACCAATTGGACTCCGGGACCAGGACTCGGAGCATTGACACAGCATAGAATCTTTCCGTGATGGCTTGAGATGATGGGGCCACTGTCGAAGGCCGGTTCAAGACCAGTGTCAAGGCCAAGCGATGGCACCCAGGTAAGTTTCATCCACCCTAGCTGCTATGGACATCTCCTGTCTCCTCTCCAACCTACACTCCTACTCTTCTACACTGCTATCTATAGCTGAGCTCCTCCCGAACAGTGCTGCTCTCCAGCAGTGTGTCGCCAGCATGAGTGCTCCACCTCTCTGTGTCCGAAGTGATCAATGGTCGTGATCGCAGAGCCAAGTCCTGGTCCATCGCCTCTGGCCTCACTCGGCCTGTATGGGTCCCTACGGGACGTCCAGGCAGCCCTGATGATGCAGCAGGGCTGAATCAGAAGGGAGGAGGACTAGGCCAGGCACTCCAGACAAGTGCCTGGTCCAGTCCATGTACGGACAAAATGAACCTAGGCCTAAAACGGCCAAAACATGGGACGTCCTGCCTACCTGGTCCAAACAGACCTTGTGCCTGT